TGTTCCTAGTAGCTTTCTGTTTCTTAACCCAAATGTCCAACAACAGATAAGTAAAAGACATTTGTATATCTACACAATAGAATTTTACTCAGCAATTAAAAAGGTCTGAACTATTGATACAACAATTTCAACGTGTCTCAGAGTAATTATGAAAGTGAGAGAAGCCAGGCAACAACTACATTCACAGCGTTCCCTTAGTCTAAAACTCTATAAAATGCCAACTAGTCTATAGTGACAGAAAGCAGATCAGAGCCAGAGACCTAGGGAAGAGAGGGTATGAGAAATAGGTTACAAGGGACATCAGAATACTTTGGGTTATAAAGGACAGGTTCACTAGATTGCTTGTGGTGATTGTTTCACGGATGTGTAAGACTGGTCTTCAAAAAAGTTCATGGAAAAAGCACATTATGAAAACTATGCACAGACTTCAAAAAATTTTCACACCAGAATAAATTCAAACCCTAATTCCATTTTACACACACTTTTTGAAGTTCCCTAGTGCATATCAAAATTCATTCAACTGTACACTTTAAATATGTGCAATTTGTTTATGTCAGTTTTACCCTCAGCAAAGCTATTTTTTTTAATGATAGTAATAATAATAATAATAATAAACATCACAGCCAGAGCTCATCTTTTCCACTTCTGAATTCTAGCCAGAACTGGACATCCCTGCCAAGGGGGTCCAGGACATAATACTTCATAGAAATGCAGCTCACACAAGCACCATTACCATTCTAGGTTGGACCACCTCAGCGTTCTCTATCCCAGCCTGTGAACTCCAACATCTGATCTTGTTCATCACTGTCCTGTACAACCCCTGTTCTCAAAGCCATGGGAGAATTTGCTCTGCCTTTACCACTTCCCACCCACAAGGCAGCCTGGTCCTGACTCAGCAGAGAGATAGTGAGGGAGAGCTGAAGTAAGAGAATACAAACAGGAAGAATCTGGATGCATCTTTGGCCAACCCCCACAAAGAATAATGCACACAGGAAGTCTGGGCAGTTATTGCAAACCCAGTTGGCACCGAATGCTGCTTTTGTTCAGAAATTTTAAAATATACACACACACCAAAAAAGTCAACCTTCTAGTAAACAATATAAAATGTTTTCATCCTTGAAACCTATGTGACTGCCTTCCTGGTTTACTCCATTACAGTGAGTTCATTTTAGAGAGGCAGTTTCTGAATCCATCCCCTAGAGCAGGACCACCATGCTAGTGAGTGGTTTGCAACTTGCTCAATGAAAGCATGAATGGACCAAGGCCTCAATATGAAAGAAAGAAAAAAAAAAAGAAAACCTCAACTTAAAATAGTCTTCTCTTCATTTTAATAGAGTTCCCTGTCCATTCAGGGACTTTCATAAATAACTCCACAATTAATGACATGTGTTTATCGGCAAAGCCACTCACCTGAAATACACAGTGGTTGATGTTCTGTGTATGGAGTTTATTTATGAGAAAGAAAGACTCAGCCTGAGGATGAAAATAGAGCAGTGGTACTCAACTAAATTTGCAACTGTTGACCCTAGGAGCCTCAGGTATACCTATTTTGAGAAGAGTTCAATTTGAGGTAATATAGAAATCTGGCTTAACAAGTAGCTCACAACTGATTTTTTTTTTGGGGGGGAGAGGTTTTCGCTATAGGGCGTGTGCGCTCGCCAGACAGACAGAGAGACATAGCGACAGAAGGCGAGAAATCACCCCCCAGGGGGGGATGGTCACGCTGCAATCCCTTCTCCTCCATTCTCCTCTCAGGATCTTGGGCACGCACGCACACGCGCCCGGCGTGAGTTTAAGCCATACTCAAACCAAACCTCAAAGCTCAATTCAAGAATTCCTCCCCACTCATATCCCCATTCTTTTCTTCTTATGTAAAATCATTCATGAGCTTCCCATTTTTCAGCATTTAGGAGATGAGGCATATGAAATGCCAGAGACATGGCATGAACATAATTAGTGCTCAATAAATGCAGCTTGCTTTAATGTTACCAAAATCATTTCTACCAATATATTACTACAGTTGTGTTTCTGAAATATCAGTTTCTCTTTACCACTTTGATGATTTTTTGGATATCCTAAATGCCATGTATACTACCATTGATGTAATACATAAAAAATTTTCAAAAAGTCCATGGAAAATACAAAGTTCGCATAATTTAGAAATGTTATTGCACCAAAATAAACATATTTTAATTCCATTTCCACAAACTTTTTGAGGTACCTACGTATTTTTGGTCAATGTCTTTTTTATTAAGCAAATCTTTAAAAATAGTACCCTGGGTTTTATTTATTTATTTATTATTTATTTATTTATTTATTTATTTATTTCATGAGTGAGAGAATGAGAAAGACAGCATACCTAGAGGGTCTTGATGCCATAATCAACCCTTAGGCTGTCCTAGATCATGGGCGTGTGTGTGCCCAGTGTATTCAGGAAGGTCCCCAGATATGAACCTGAAACCTTCCCATGTGGTTCAACCTTGCAGAGTATCTTGTTTTATGGCTGTGCCACTGTCTGGTCCCCATTAAATAAATGTATTATTTAAGGAAAATTAATAGAGATTAGACATAGAAGTGAAGAGAACAACTGTAGATACCAGAGACTGTGTAGAAGGTAAGAGGGGGAGGGTTGAAGAAGATGGGGGGGGTGCATTTAACAGACACAAGAATGCAGGTAGATGGGGCAAATAGTTGTGAAACAGCATGACCTGAGTCCCTGGTGGTGATCTAAGTTTAGGCTCACTCGTGGACTTTTGGAAGACCTTGTTCCCACACCATGTGGGCTCTTGGACCTGGTTCCCCATGACATGGAATGTGACTTCCTTTAGGATGAGCAATGTGAGAAACACACAAGATAGAATCCCAGGGCACTATTTTATGTCAAGTATGGAAGCCACTATCTAATTTCAAAAGTCACATCTATATCTTCTGTGATATTCTGTTAGAAGTGAGATAAAAGTCCATCTCATATTCAGGAAGTGTGGATCCTAGTGGGTGGATATCACTGAGGGCTTTCTTAGAGGCTCGTTATCACCTCAATCCTGGCATTTAATGAATTCACGTCTTACATTTCATGTGTAGAGAACATATCCTGACTTACTTTAATACAGTTCAAAATTAATGGTTCTTATCCATAGGAAAAAAAACATAGTAACAACTCAAAGCTATACTGTACATTTACACTATAAATAAATCAGAACTCGCTCAAACAAAATGATAGATGTAAGTGGAAAATTAGAAATAAATTTATAATGATTGTTTCACAGTATATTATTTTGAATACAGTTTTATGATTTAAACATTTTAATGTTAACTCTAAGTTCTTTTGATAATTAAATAAGTTGACTCATATAAAAATATATCCCAGTTTCATCATTACTCTTACTACTACTCTCTTTATCATTATTACCGTTATTATGAATAAATATGCATTGTTGGGACCAGCAGTTAGTGTAATGGCTATGTCTCTGGACTCTCATGTAGTCAACAGTGGTTCGCGTCCCAGACCTGGTGGCTTAAAACTCATGCCAGGAGCGTGTGTGTGCGTGCCCAAGATCCCCAGAGGAGAATGGAGAAGGGATTGCGGCGTGGCCATCCCCCCTGGGTGGTGATTTCTCGCTTTCTATCTCTCTGTCTCTCTGTCTTTCTGGCAAGCACACACGCCCTATAGCAAAAACCTCTTCAAAAAAAAAATGCATTTTTTCTATAAAAGAGATAAATTTCCTTAAAATAGTTTTTGAATGATCATGTTTACTCTTTTATTCAAGTTTATATTTTCTTCCATGAACACAGAGAGAAAGGGACAGACACCCACAACAGAGTCCTCATGCTGAGATCCAGCCCCGGCCTCAGACAGCCCACAACTGACATCACCAGGGGACAGCTGATAGTATAGTAATTACATCACTGGACTCCCACATGGCCAACTATAGTTCAATCAATATGGTATTATCCTTGATTTGATTTGTCACACACTGCACGCATACTTTGCAAATCCATGTTTCCATGTTGTGCACAACAAAGATGTACAGCAACTAAGTTTAAATAAGAAAGTATAAAATAAAATAAAATAGAAAAAATGAAATATAGCCCAGCCACATTGGCACAAATGGCAAGGTACCAGTGTGTGAGGCTGGGGCCACATGAGAACTCTGGTTTGGTTCTCAGACCAACCCGAAAAGGCCAGACATGGTAGTAGTACACACCTGTAATCCTAGCTAAGGGAGTCTGGAGCATGGTGAGACCCTGCCAAAAAACTGATTTCTCTCTCTCTCCCTCTCTCACTCTGTCTCTCTCCCCATCTATCTTTCATTTAAAAACAAATCCTCCAACCATAAAGGGAACAACTATAAAAATAACATAATAAAAATGAAACAATATTTTGTTCCTTTTTTTTTTTTAAGAAAAATGAGCAACTGTTAGAGATATGACAATGTAAATGTCTTTCTCCGTGACACAATCAGAACGCCAGAATTGTTTTCCACGACCACCTCACTCCTTACTTCATTATTATTTAAAGCTATACCTATGTTCACTCCAAATCACCCTATGTACCATTCAGAACTTATGTTGCATTGTTACAAACACTTTCCATGAGGCACTCATTAATCTCTGCTTTGTTTGGTTAATTATATGTCTATGCCTATATCTAAACCTACTGTCTTATTTCTGTATATACCCACCATGGTTCTTAGGTTGATACCTTGTACAGAATATATGCTTAATGCAATTCAAGTGTAACACTTCAAGTTTTAAACAGACTTGATCCAAGAGACTCTTTTTCCAAACTTCAAAATATTTGTGGAGATAGGTAGTAAGAGAGTATTCAGGAGTTGTCTTGTTTCCTTTTGCTGATTTCCCATTGATAATGTTAAGCCATCTTACATAGTTAAATTTCATGGAAGCAACCAAGTACCAAAAATGTGTTTCTTGCATGCATGGAAACATCTGAAGCAAATCTTTTAATTTACAAGTGAAATAAAGGCCAAACAAAACCAAAAGAAAACTGAATGTGTGATTTATTATATTTAAGATTGGTCTATAAGGCTTAAATATGTCTGTCAGAGTTAACAGGAAATGAATGGAACTTTACAAAATCAGTATTTCAAAATAGTACAGGACTAAATGTGGCAACTGTGCATTGGAAAATTAATATTTCCTCAATGCAAATATCAAATCTGCAGCACCATTTAAAAGCTTCCACTAAAAACTCAAGCTGCAGTATTTATTACAAGCACTACCCAGAACACAAGACTACCTAAATCAAGCATTAGAGAAAAACAGTAGAGTCATTCAGGGATACTATGTCAGATTTGGTACAGGATTAGAATACTAACATTTTTTTAATGTACTGGTTCAAATTAATAAATACAAAAACAATATAAAAATATACACCAGTTGATAAGACTGTACTGCGGATGATCAGAAAGTTAAATTTCACTCTCATATGTTTGCAGGTATGTCTTGAGGGCCAGAATTTCAGAATAGCTGCGGCTGGTCTTTCGGAAGAAATCCAGACTAGTGAGATGTTCAATGTCTCGCACTCGAGCTGTGTGCATCTTTATGAGTTCCTCTACCCATTTCGACTCATCTTCTGAACTCTGCAATGGAACAGAACACAATCAGAGTCAGAACTTTTCAAGGAGATTCTCTACAAGGCCAGTTTGCTCCAAGTCCACAAATGACCTCTACATACTCCTGCACACTGTGCCAAAGCATGCCATTCCATCCTGGCCTCCCCATGACTCGACTACATTCCTGTCGATGATGCCGCACAAATACCTGCCTTGGCTGTAAACATTCTCAACAGTAATTAGTTGTACCAAATAAATGAGACATGTGGTTTGAGAGTGCAATTGACTCAATAGGTTCTCAGAACATAAATCAAAGTTGGGAAAACCAAAATCTCTGGAGAATTCAGTAAATTTTTTCTTTACCCAGCTGCCAAATTGCAATGTTGAATACAGAGAGCAAGTAATTTGAAATGTTCTTCAGTCTCCCAAGGAAAGTGAAGACCTTGCACTTAATACACAAAACTGTGTGTGCATTTCTAGCTTTTTCAAAATAACCTGCTGTGTCAAATACATCATCTACTAGACGGCAATGACTAGATATTTGAATAACTTCAACTTGAAGCAGTCAATGCATACATCTGGCCTGTTGGGGCCCAACAGAACTGAACTGAATGTGTGACTCTCCACTTGCTGGCTATGAGAACGAGGTCAAGCTACTTGATTTTCTGAGGTCTCAATGTCTTACTCATTCACAAAAATAATAATGCTTCCTTTAGCAGTTCCCTGGGAGGTAGGAAGAAGAGAAAGAAGAAAAGGGAGACTAAGGTAAAGCAATATCATGGGAGAAAAGAGGACATCTCTCTTTATTTTTTCTGCTTTCCATTGGCATGAATTTCATAGGAAATACCTTCAAATGTCCTACACCAAACAATGTATTTTATGTCTAGCTTGAAACTAAAAGGTAACTCAGGAGACGTAGTCCTTTACATCTCAGAAAGAACATCTTTCATTCTTGAGGCAAGTTGAGGGAAAGAATGAGAGCTGAGGATCCTGTGAACTATGAAAAAGTGCTTGCCTTTGTTAGTAGACATGCGGCAGGAGGGTCTTTGCAAATAATTTCATTTTCAGATGTCTCTGGAATTGCAAGGGTTCTTGAGTCTTTCTACAAGTTAAAGGGTGGCTATGTGTCCCAGGGAAGAGAATATTCAGACATGCCCTCACTCTACTCTTTGCCACTAGTGGTCTCAATGAACTATCCAGTAATGCCCAAGAACCTGCAATAGGGTTTCTCGGAAAGCTCCAACCAACCCACACAGACCTGGATAGAGAGCTACGGCAGCTTGTGCCAGAGCTAAATATGTACCAGGAGGGTGTTGGTTCAGGAAACTGATGCCTGGCCATCCCAAGCAAAATGAAGAAATGGGAAGAAATTTCTTTGCATGCTGGGGAAGTAAGGATTTTAACTTTCCCCCACACCCCACCCTCCTACCCAACCTAACCAAGATCTCTGCGATTCACAGGAAAGGAAAGATCTAAATATAACTCTACCCACAATGGTACTGACCAGTCCTCAGTATGACCATATAATTAACAAAGTAGGAGGTCTCCAGACGGGTCAGGACCCCCTCAGAGTAAGCATGAGACTGTATTTTGGGAGAATTTTCATATTCATCTTATTTGTTTGATTTTTCTGTGGTCAGTCTGATTTTTTTTCTTTGTAAATGCAGTCATTTCAATGTGTGGACAGGGGTAAAAAGGCTTTTCCTAATTTAAATAATGGTGAACTGGATTATAAGAATTCAAAAAAAAAATCTATCTTTTGCTACCTTTTTCCTTGGGAAATGATTTTTCACTTTCAAGGGAGGAACATTTTCTTCTGGTTCTCACATGCTAAACTCTCATCTCTAATTCATCATTATAAAACACTGACTATGCTGCACACAAAGAAAACTCTTGTGCCTTAATGCTGGCTTGTGACCCACAGATGTGTTTGCTGATGGGACTGTAGAGTGAGATGAAAAACTAATTAAATTAAAATAAAAGTTCATGCGCATCAAGGTGGGATTAAAGAAAAACTTAAAAACTAAATAGCTTAAAATAGTATCAAAAATAAAACCACAATCCATAAACTTGCTTATTGTCTTTCTTGCCATGGGTGTTTATTCTTCCCCTACCTTTTCTTCCTGACTTTCTATCAAGCAGGTTTATTAACTCAAGCTGCAATAGTTTTAAGGTAAACCTCAAAGCAAGGACAAGTATAGGTTTATATGCATGCTGGCCATGAGCTCTACACAATATATCTCTAAACTCTGGGCAGGTTCAGAAACTAGTAGGAAGAAGAAGACCTGTGAGGACATCAGATGTAAAATTTGGGTTGAGAACTAAAGAATGGTCTTTGCACAAAGTTTCAAACAATGTTTTCTAAACTTCCCCATCACCAAATTCCCATAATGATGGAATAACTTGATAATGTCTTTTCCATGAATGTAGGTATAATTTAAATAGCCTGCTATACATATGAAAATTCTATTCTCTCTCTATCTCTCTGTCTCTATACGTGTGTGCAGGTTTAAACCTTTTAGTACGGATATATTCAAACATCCATAAATGTAGAGAGAACAATATAATGAATTCCTGTGAACTCTTACCTAGTTTCAACAATTATCAAAAATTTGATACTTCCCACTTTCTTATGAAAAATATATATGCCAGGGTCAGCAGGTGGCTGGGCCAGCATTGGACTCCCATATGGCCAACTGTAATTCGTGTCCCAGACCTGGCAGTCTCATTTCCCCCAACCTCTCTCTCTCTTTCTCTGTCCCTCTCTGGTCAAATTAGAATAAATAAACAAATGAATAAATAAAGTTAAATAAAATAATTATTTAATATATTTTATATATATAATATACTAAATAAATATATATATATGTATATATATATATATATATATATATATGTGCCTTTTGTGAAATTTAAAAATTCAGGCACTTTTGGCATTAATAAAAATTGGTAATCATGTAGAATGCATAAATACACAGTGAAAAACTTTTAAAAAAAGGATACAATGTTTCTATGTAACAAGCAAAGCTCTAATTATCACTTTCTTATAGAGACCAAATACATTTATTATGTTCTATTTCAATGATGGAAATGTAAATCAAGAAGCAAGGATGACTTATGAATGCAAATCCTAAATAACTCTCCCTCTGAACTCACGTTGCAGCTCTCATCATTGTCAGAGCGGTGAGGAAGGATGAATGAAGACACAGAGAGGGGGCCATCACACTTGTCAGCGGGCTGAGTGAAATCCAGGCAACTTGTGATGATGCTGTAGTAGTGAGTTGGAACAGGGATGGGACTGCCTTCCACGTACCTGCCACAGGAAGGTAAAACAACATTGTAATTGACATAGAAGATTTCCTTTCCTAGTCACTAAAATTAATTCCCACCCACTCGGGTTATTTTTCACTTCTAAGCATTAGTTCCCTTATACATCTTGAACATATTTTCTCTGCCTGGACCCGTCTCTTCCTCAGCCTGGCAGGGAAAGATATTCTAGGCAAAGTATATGACTTGATTCAAGATTTGGAGACAGGTAATGTTGAAAATATCAATGCAGTAAAACTGAAAGGCTGAAAGAATCAGTCACAAATTATAGTGGATTCTGAGTGCTAAGGAATGGGCTTTGAGCTTTTTTGTTCTGGCAGTAATGCTGCATTGAAATTTTTGTTATAGTTATTAGATCCATGTTGCAAGAGATAGCTTTCTATCTCTCACTCTCAATTTTTTTTTAAAGGTTTTTGCTATACAGTGCATGGGTTCATGAGAGACAGAGAAAGGGAAAGTGATAAATCACCCCCTAGGGGGAAACAGTGATGCCTCAATCTCTTTTCCATTCTCTTCTTGGTACCTTCCGCATGAAAACACATGTGCCCAGCATGATTTTCAATCCACCAGTTCGGGACTTGAACCATGGTAAACATTATGAGAATCCAGGGCCTTAACCATTACACCACCTTCTGGTGCACCCCCTCTTTTTTTTTTTTCCATTTGCTTGACAGTAATAGCACTCACTAGAGAGAGAGGATAAGAAATCACTCCCCTTGAGGCTGGCAAGTGGCATGGTGATTAAGGAGGCTGGACTCCCAAATGGCCAACCATGGTTTGAGTCTCGGACCTGGCGGCTTGTTTTCTCACTTTCCCTTTCTCTTTCTCTCTCTCTGTTCCTATCTGGTCAAATTAAAATAACTAAAGTTAAATAAAATAATAAAAAATTTAAAAAGAGGGAAAAAAGAAAGAAAGAAAGAAATCACTTCCCAGGAGAAGATAGCCACGCTGCTATTCTTTCTCCTCCATTCTCATCTCAGAATTTTGGGCACACACTCACATGTGCCCAGCTCATCTTTCAAGCCACCAGGTCCAGGACACAAACCACATAGTCAGCCATATGAAATCCAGTTGCCTTAGCCAACATGCCACCAGTTGGCCCAGAAGACAACTTCCATAAAGCTGGACTAAATAGATCAAGGTAGAAGATACTGGAGCTAAGGAAATAAATAACAGCCTTTCCAAATTACAACAAAATTCTGAACTTGGTTTAAAGAACTCATTTACCAAAGGAAGTACTGAGAACTGAGTGCTACTGGTGAACCTAGAGTTCCAAAAAATCCTTTCTGGCAGAGCAAAGAATAAAAACGCACAATTTCTTACCTGGTATTATGTTATCTTTTTTTATTTTTTGTAATTAATTAATTAATTTATTTATTTGAGAGGTTTTTGCTACAGGGCGTGTGCGCTCATCAGACAGACAGAGAGACAGAGAGACAGAAAGCGAGAAATCACCCCCCAGGAGGGATGGCCATGCCACAATCCCTTCTCCACCATTCTCCTCTCGGGATCTTGAGCAGGCACGCACACGCACCTGGGGTGAGTTTAAGCCACGGGGTCTGGGACTCAAACCATGGTCAACTACATGGGAGTCCAGCGACATAGCCATTACGCTAACTGCTGGTCCCTCTTTTTTATTTTAAGTTTTAACCCAAGGGTGCCTGAGCTTGCTGAAGAGAGCTAGAGAAAGGGAGAGAAATCACCCCCTGGGGGATGGACACACCATAATCCCTGCCCTCCATTCTCTTCTTGTGATTCTGGACACATACACACATGCATCTGGCATGATTTGTATTCTGTTGCCTAAATTGTAATAATCTTTCCCAATGTTGAAATTATGATCTAATGAGTAACTATTTTGGCTAAAAACTATAACAATGCAATAAGTATACACTTAAGATGAACTTTCTCTTGCAAATGACTGAAAAAGCAGTTCGATAATTTTTATTAGTTAACTATATATTTTTAAATACCAGTTTATTTCTTAATTATCTGGAAATCACAATTAACCTCTCTCCAATTCTGTGCTGCTCTGATTGTTTCGTGAATATAAAGTTACATGATAACTTATTCTGAATTTACTGTGTTTTTTATCTTGTTACCTTCTCAACTAGACCATGGGTTCCTTGGAAGCAGACTATGCCTTATCCATTCATATCTCTAATAGCACCAAAGAAAGGAACAGAGATAACAAGATTCAACCAAAGTTGCTTTGCAATCTCTTACTGAAATGTACTGACTTAGAAATTCTAAGGGATTTCAAAAATCTCACCAAATAATAGAGGTAAATGGAAATTATCATCTTCCCATTGAAGAGTTAGTGAAGAACAAATGAGAATACTTTTAACATCTTTTGATATATTTTCTTTCATGAAATGGAAAAATGCATGAATTTACCACAAAACCCCAAATTCCATTCCAATCACTAGTGTCACATTTAATCAGAGGTCCAAAAGAACTGAGGAATTCAAAAGCAGGTTCAAAAAGGAAGACATGTAAGAGATAGCAGTTCTTCTCTAGAACACGAATATTTGAAGACTGGCCCTGAATGAGATCTTGGGAACTAAAGATCACACACTGAGTAGAAATAGAAAGCTTACTGTTTGATTTTGTCCTCTGTGTCATGTAAGCCATCATAGTCATAGTCAAAAATTGGTCCACTGATCACATTAACTCCATTTCTTTCCGAAGCATATTTCTTTACCAATACCCTTTGGAAATAATTCCAAACCCCTGTGTAAAAACAAAAACCAATTCTTCATGAACAAAACTCCTTGCTTCAGTTAAATTCTCTCTAGGATACATTTTACATGTCAAATGTTTCAAGTCAACAAACAATATGGCGGGTGGGGGTTCTGAGAGGGATTAAATTATCTGTGTGTGTGTGTGTGAGAGAGAGAGAGAGAGAGAGATTTATAAACTAGCAAAGGAAGAGATATGGAGTTGTAGGAGAATGGTAGGGGAGGGTTAACCTGGTCCACTAAGTCAGGGAAGGAATTCAGATGAAGTGGTTACTAAGCTAAGAGCAGATAAGTAGGTGGTGTTCCCTAGGCAAAAACTCAGAGGTAGAACACTATAGGCAGAGGAAACAGAATGCACAAAAGAGAAAGCAAAGTGTTTCTGAGTAATTGAAAACAAGGCTTTACTCTGCTTTTTCTACCTTTGTGATCTCCCGATACGCTAGTTCCCAAGTTTCTCTCTCTAGTCCTGACCTTTACATGGAATGCCAGACTGTCATCCCACCAGCCATCTCATAACCCACTTGAATACCTGGCAGTCATGTTAAAGCAAAAAATTATCCAAACAGAATGCTTTAATAAGCTATTTTTCCTTATTCGTGATAAAGCGTGTGTGCATGCATCAGAGAGAGGGAGCGCGTGGGGGAGATAAGCACACTCCGCAGTATCTTGTCACACTGCGTTCCCCGTCTCAGTCCCCCAGCCTGTCAGCTCTTGGACAATCTCACGTTTGCCCAGTGTGCTTCAGGCCGACCCCGCTAGGAAGACAAACCCAATGCCATGTCGGATCTGGCTTCTCCTGAGGAGTACATTACCACTATGTCACAGATGGGCCCCAGACAGAATTCTTGATGTTTCTCCCCAGTCCTGCTCTGTCCCTTGCCCTCTCTGTCATAGCTAATGGCACTCACACTCCCCTCCATATTCAAGCTGAAGTGCTAGGACTCATGCCTGACCTTCTCTATGCCCGTGTGAACAAGTCCTGGCCGTGCTGTCTCCAAAATTCACCCCAAATCTGACCACCTCTCACCTTTTTTACTGCTTCCATCCTGCCTCAGGTTACCATCCTCTCCAAAATAAACTACCACCAAAACTACTGCCTGGGTTCCCTGTGAGAAAGTCTTGGTTCCCAGTAGTCATTCTTTATCTAGTAGCCAAATGGATCCTTTTATACTGTAATTTGATTTTTCTCTCTCTCTTCTCTTTTCTCTTCCTCTCCCTTTCTCTCTCTCTCATACACATACACACATATATTTCTACACTCCAGATGATTTTGTCTTGCAATTAGAACAAAATCCCAGCTCCATAATGAGGTCCATACTTACTTGACTTTACTTTTACCCCTTCTGCTGCAGGTGCAAGGCTTCCTTCCTGTCCCCCAACTTTACCAAACTTGTTTCAGCCCAAGCATTTGCATTTGGTCTTCTCTTTGCTTGGAAAACTCAATCACAGATCATTTCTTGATCTGTGTTTGTCTGGTTTTTCCTCCATTACCCATTTCTCAGTTTCAAAGTCACCCACCTTTCTTGTCCACCTAGCTTCAATTTACCTTGGTTATCTTTTAACTGGAGGAGCATGACAGGCGTGGAAGAGAAAAGGAGAAAGGTAAAAGAAGGGAATAACAGTACAGTAGTGAAGGCAAGCAGTGTGTTAGTTCTGAAATATTAGATCCAGCTCTACGTGTTCTATTCTACTTGGTGATTATAAGGCTCAGCCACCATCACTGCTTCTCCTCCTTTATTAGAAAATACTTGGTGTTTTAAATGATCTTTATAGTTTTTGGTACTCTGAATGAGAATTGTAGAGCAGCCTCCCAGAGCCTAACACCGTAGATAATTATTTGCAGTTAAGAGAAGGGTAAAAGCATGGAAAACAATTGCAGATACTAGAGACAGTATGGGAGGAGGGTGGAAAATGTGGGAGGGTGAAAGGGAGGGAATCTAGGAGAAAAAGGAAGAAGTAAAACATTTAAGGCACACAAAAATGGAAGATTATCCAATGATGATAACATGTATGAAAATATCTTTAACTGGACTAGTAATACAGTGTATTCAGACTGGAGAAATTCATTTTGCAAGCTGTAATCATATACAGTGATTGAATATTTAAAAAAAAGAAAAGAAAGAGAAGGATAGTGGGAGAGAAGTTTAAGTGCTAAGAATAAAAAAAGAGAGAGAGAAAAAAAACCTATCAAAACAATGAGACATTGAAATGGTCAAGCCCACAGAAATCCATCATGTGAAAAAATGATTCCTCTAGTGAAGAAGAACAGCAAGCTCTCTGTGAAAGGCCTTTTCCACACCAGCCTCAGGGTGGTACCAAATGTTTCCTTTACTACCATTTGGTCAAAAATACATGATTAAAGAATAAAAAAATCCAAGAAACCCTAATTTATGGAGATTACATGAAGCACATTCCACGTAATATCATGATAAAGGATCTACGTGAGTTTCTGAAATATTTCTCAGTGAGATCTGAGAACAAATCAGAAGACCTTTTAAAATCGTAGTCTAATTTTTCACTCATAAGCAACAAATTCTATCTTTGAGTAAACTTTCATTTATTAACTAGGACATCAAATAAACATTTCATTCTCCAAACCCTGTGAGCCATCTCACCAATATTACACAGGGGAGGTCTGCCGCTGTGAATGACACTCCACAATCATTCATGCCTATTTTGACACCAATTCAGCTCTAATAGTCCTGTAATGCAGCCCCATCTTCCCCTGTTATGTCAAATTAGCTAGAGGTGATTACTTTTCCCATAAGCCTATCGTCTGTTCACTATAAATGAACTAAAAGAGATAAAAGCTACTTCACAAAGCTTCCTCTATATTCAAATACATGGATCTTTTTTAGAAAAAAATGGATGGAGAAATGTATGGATAGATGGATGGATGGAGAGATGAGTTAATTCTTTGTTTTCTTTGTTATCAGATATAATAAATGGATTGTTTTAGCCTTTGAATGATTAAGTTATAAGTCCATTTAAGCTGTAGAGGTTACGCAATCAAGTATCTTAATTTTGCAAACAAGAGGTTAACTGACATTTCTAGGATCACACAGTTGGTGCTCGCTCTCCAAAGGCTAGAACTTGGGCCAGGGCTGATAATGCCTGTATAATTGGTAGCATCACTATCATTCACAAATATTTACATCATATGCAGAAATTGTAAGTGTTCAAAGAAACTAAAATAATATTTCACAGAACCCTAATACCATCTAAAATTCTGATGACTTGAAAGAGGGCCTAACAGCCCTCTCGAGGTTTCAGAGTCATCATTCAGAATATATCATCATTTCAGGTGAGAGAGGTGCTGGTAGTTTTAACAATCAATCAATAAATACAGAAGTTGTTAAAATGCCAAGGGGCCCCCAAAGTACTACAAGGGCACTTTTAACCAACAAAATAATGATAACTGAAACAAAAAGAATGGCAGATTAGTGGAAAAACAGCTCAGTTCAGCTTCTGCCATAAATGACCTAGGTCACTTTATGCTATGTTAATTTTTTAATTATAAACAAGAGATAAGCTACTGATCTCCTTCACAGATTCAAATTTTGGATCAATGGTAGCATTTACATGAAAGGTTTTCAAAAATGATAAAGGCTGACTACATGAAATATATTCTTATTATTGAAATTAATATGGAGGTAGAAATGGTAAGTGGTTAATTTAGGAATATTTCTTTTCATAAATAACAGTTTCTATGTTATTTATGAATATTTATTGAACTTACGTTTGAAAGCAGGATACATTGGAACCATATTAGTTACAAGGAATGCATCATATTTCGCTTCTGGTGAAGAACTCAGATCTAAACATGAGAAAAATAAATAATGTACATAGCATACTAAAATCTACATCAATAAAAGAGCAGTCCTCCCAAGTGATCCAAACAGCATGAAGTGAATAAACCTACTCATTTATTTCTACTCATTATCTCCTTTGTATATTTCTACTTCTCCCAATCTCTTCTGTTGCCCAACAGTTCTCTCTTAAAAACTGTTTACAATAATTTTACTTCCTACCTAGCTCTTGAGTCTACTAAGAATTATGTTAAATAATCCCTTGATTTCATTAGTGTCATTTGAACTTTTATAAATATAGAATCAGGACAATGAGAAATAATTAAATGACTTCATTTATTTTTAAGAGAGCATCTCTTTAGTGCCATTTAAAGAACTAATGTCTTAATGAATCACTATTTCACTCTCAGATTCTAACTTAATGATATAAGCGGGGACACAGACAATGGCTTTACACATGAGAATTCTGTCAGAGAATTGAATTTTTGAAAGCTGATCACTTGAGCCAAAGAAGAATCATATAGTTCATCTCTACAGTATCTTGAATGTCCTCTTTTGAAAAAAAATCTGAGCCACTGAAATCCTAAATACCAAGTTTCACACCCCAGAATGTACAAAATAACATCCTTCTACAACCATCAGGTAACGTAAGTCTATAACTTACAAGGAGGAAAGAGGAATCCATAGGACATCTGTTTATCATTTTTGTAGGCCAAACAGTTCTGACTGAAACTTGGAGAAATGCGGACATCAGGCCGGACACAATTGGTCAGATGCTCGGGGATGCCAGAGACCTCAGCCTGCACAGGAAGTCAGAGGCATTCAGTAATGCCATCATCACAAAAACCATGGCAAATGACAAGGAAATACCCACACCGGGCTGCTCTCCCGCTGACAGACAAACTCAAAGCCCCTCTGACTCTTCCTGTAGCTCATATTCTAATATTCCGAGCCCTTAAAAAACAAAGCTCTTAAGTTTTCAATATAGTAAGCTGGTAATTTTCACACTCATAGTTTTAGTAGCAAAACTTTCTTATCAATGTCTTAAGTACAATAAAATATAAAGCAAAAACCTCACTATTAAAATAGGACTCCACAAAAGATAACTTAAAAAACAATAATCTAAGAAATAATGTAGATATATCTACTCCCAAAAGAGTCTGTGTGTGTGTGTATATATATATATATTTGTAAAAGTTTTGAAAAAATGAAATTAAAGTGAGAATTTATTTGGTGCAAAAAAAAGAGTTGAAATTCACAGTTTTTTTTCCATAATATGCATTTTCATGAACTTTTTGAAGACAGCAATGTGTGTGTGTGTGTGTGTGTGTGTGTGTGCACAAGAGCATGTATATGTGCACACAATACAAATTAACAAAAATCTGTCTGGGCAGCAGCAACATTCTCTTCATTTGAGTTTGAAAATTAAGAATATACTTCAACTGCTAAGTATCTTCTTTCTAATTTCTAATATGTACCTTGGTATCCTCATTAAAACTGAAACTCCAACATAAAATCTTTATTAAAAACATGAAGACCCTGTTGGAGGTGACTTGTCCATCTCTCTTTCTCTCACTCCCTCTCTCTCTAGTGGAAGAAAAAATTTTAAGTAAAAAGATGCTGATGGGGGGGGTAGTCGGGGTGGGAGGGCAGAGAGTACATGGGAACCTGTACTTTCCACTCAGTTTTGCTGGGACCTGAAAACAGCTCTAAAACACAAACTCTATTCAAACAAACAAACCAACTTTGGTGACTTCTGTAATATTGGGCAATGATTTAAATGAAAAGAAACTAAAAGAATGAAAATGCTTCCTTCAATATTTAACATATGACCATGGAATTATTAGAACATTGAATAAAGACTAGTTCAAAATGTCTTACATTAGACCCAACATAGGATTTCTTTTATCAGGAATAATTAAAATATTCCCCAAGACTGTAAAAGTTTTGAAAAAATGAAATTAAAGTGAGAATTTATTTGGTGCAAAAAAAAGAGTTGAAATTCACAGTTTTTTTTCCATAATATGCATTTTCATGAACTTTTTGAAGACAGCAATGTGTGTGTGTGTGTGTGTGTGTGTGTGTGCACAAGTCTATGTATATGTGCACACAATACAAATTAACAAAAATCTGTCTGGGCAGCAGCAACATTCTCTTCATTTGAGTTTGAAAATTAAGAATATACTTCAACTGCTAAGTATCTTCTTTCTAATTTCTAATATGTACCTTGGTATCCTCATTAAAACTGAAACTCCAACATAAAATCTTTATTAAAAACATGAAGACCCTGTTGGAGGTGACTTGTCCATCTCTCTTTCTCTCACTCCCTCTCTCTCTAGTGGAAGAAAAAATTTTAATTAAAAAGATGCTGATGGGGGGGGTAGTGGGGGTGGGAGGGCAGAGAGTACATGGGAACCTGTACTTTCCACTCAGTTTTGCTGGGACCTGAAAACAGCTCTAAAACACAAACTCTATTCAAACAAACAAACCAACTTTGGTGACTTCTGTAATATTGGGCAATGATTTAAATGAAAAGAAACTAAAAGAATGAAAATGCTTCCTTCAATATTTAACATATGACCATGGAATTATTAGAACATTGAATAAAGACTAGTTCAAAATGTCTTACATTAGACCCAACATAGGATTTCTTTTATCAGGAATAATTAAAATATTCCCCAAGACAAAATTCTATGAAGCAACCAATCATTGTAATGAAATGAAGGCTATAAACCAGTTTTCACAATTACCTGTTTAGAAACAGTGTATGATGTCCAGAGTGGCATTAGGAATATTTCGCTATAGCCGCTTTCGAAGTCAGTGTGATATAAGATATCATATCTAGTTCTATAGAGCACTGCTGGGCGTCCATAGAGGAGGTGTCTCTCTAGGAAAGAACAAGATAAAACATTAAACACATATTAAACTTTACATCAAATGCTAAAGAAAGATTTGAAGTTTGCTAGCTTACATGTTAAAGCTTTGCCTTCTCCTTAATTTAATCAAGTTAGTTTCCCTAACATTTTTGTGCTTTATCTAATCACATTAGCATAGGTCAAGACTTGCAGTTATCAAAACTATAATGTAAATGTCACATTTTTTTCTAATGCTTTTTTTTTAGCTGTAAAAAATTTAAAATCTGTTTAAAAGGAAACATTACATAGTAAAACTCTAAAATTACTCAATGAAATGGAAAGCCAATAGAATGATTTTTTGTAGAATTAATTAATTTAACCCCTACAGAGATTTATCAAGGTAACCAATGATTTAATTAAGAGGAAGGTTCTCTTTGATTATTATTGGCAAACTGCAACTGAAGTATGTATTATTTCAGAATGAAATAAAAATGGGTATTAAGGAGCATTTAAAGTAAGCTGCTTTATTCATGGAAGAAAATTTTATAGGTAAAACTTTAAAGGAACATGTATAGATAAAATAAGTGGACATTCAAGAGGGACCTTTAAACACAGAAGAGTAACATTCATCAATTACTAAAGAACTTAGTGAAGACCCCTCAAGGCAGATTTAGACCCCCACAGAAAGCTCTCATGGAAAAAAAGGACTGAAGCCTTACTCATGGAAGGAGAAGAGATTGGAGTGTAGCATGCAAATATTCACTCCACACCCATCATTCATGCCTAGAGCCTGATCTGTCTGTCCATTTAGGATAGGCTAAAGTCAAAACATCCAGATTCTTCCAAAGAAACTAGGGCCCCTACAGACTGAACTATTTAGAGATTGAGGCTTGGGCAATTCTCAATTCCCTAAGTGATCATCAAAAAAAATTTTTTAAGTATTATTTCTATTAAAAATAATAAGTTCTGGCAATTTCTTATTAAATTATGTATACATGTTTCTTTAATTAAAGCGTTACCACTCTGTGAACATTATGAGAAAAACTCTTAGAATATTTTGCAAGACCCTCCCAAGTAGAACTGCTGATTCGGAGTGAAGCAGCCCACACTATTACAACACGATTCTGTTCTGGATAGCTTAGCTTAATTGAACATTACAATAAATGTAGAAGCCTTGGTTAAGCTGCCAATTTGGGGACCCAACCCTAAGAATTAGAACATAACATGACAATAAAAAATAAAGAAAATATAAAAAAAAAATAAATAAAAAGCCAGCAAATAGTAACTGCAGCTTGGGGACAGTAAGCCCATCCAGACTCTCTTTCAAAACTCAAACCAAACCTTTTCCAGGTTCAAAATTTCCATTAATGTTTTCCTTGTTTTCATTTGTGCTGCCTCTGAATTGTCTGGTTTGAGCTGGAAGCAGAAGTATCAAAATTCTTTGAAAAGCTATTCTCTTTTTATCATTTCAAATACATTCTTCCAAACTCAGATTAAAGCCTAGCATTCAATGTATTTCATTAAAGCAACAACAAAATAGTAGCATTGTCTACATGCAACACCCTCCCCATCACCAGACAATAGGTTTGAACAATCTGTAATCTCCACCATCTCTGGCTTTTGCTCTGGTCTTTCTTATTTCTTGACATTCTGCAACATGGTACTCCATTCTGCAAGGCTGATTTATTTGCAACATTCGGTTCATGATCACTTTTAGCAAACCTGTAACTCTCATTATACATGTTATTTCCTTTTTCTCTACCAGAAAAAATTTCTCTAGTCTTCTTCACCAATCCTGTCACACATTTCTTCCTAATTCATCTATTAATGCATCCCTTACAACAGTTACTGAGTACCTTCCTTGTGCTAGGCTCGGGCTGTAGAATAGATACATGAGCAAAGTTGATTTTAAAAGAACTCTTTACCCTCAAAGAGTGTCCAATGAGAGAGACAAATGGAACAAATAACTAAAATGCGATTGTCTGCACCCTATCAGAGTACAAGGGGAACACGGAGGATGAAGAAAGCCACCAGTGGCAGTGAGGTAATGTCAGTTAAATCCTTTACAGAGCATGTGAAGTTAAACACAGGTGACACTATGTCCGGTTTTTGCCTGTTGCCCTGGCATGATTTTTAATAGTGCCCTTATTCACACTCCAAAGTGTTTGACAAAAAATATGGTCACATAGTTCAGACCTCATGGAAGAGACGGGAAGAGAGAAAAAAGAAGAGGTACCAGAGGGACAAGAAACAAAATTTCCTTTCTCCTAAAATTTTGCCTTAAGCTTCTCCCTTGCTCTGCTCGTATGAGACTCAATTTGCTTCAGACATTTGGACTTTGGAGCCTCCAAACTATTATCACAACTGCAATTTTTGGCACACAGCTGGAACACACGTATATTTCCATCTGACTTTTTCTCAATTTTTACTAGGTACAAATGGCATGAAGAAAAAATGGCAGTGGTTTCAGCAGAGTCCTAAAATCCAATCAAGGTCCCCAACTCACTCAATGGATCTACTTGGATCTTCCTGAAGCTCAAAATTTAAGAAGTGAAATAGATTCTTTGTGGTCAAAAGATTTTTAAGGTACAGAATTGAACTTTAGGTTTTGCTTTTTTAGTTTATCAAAATTTCAAAGGATTACACATTCTCAGTGACACCTCAATTCTGTGAGTATTTATGACATCTTGGGAGAGCTACCATTCACTGCATTTCTTTCTCTTTTCTTTTCTTTTCTCTCTCTCTCTTTCTTTTTTTTTTTTTTTGGCCATAGGGCACGTGTGCTTGCCAAAGAGACAATAACAGGGAAAGTGAGGAATCACCCTCCAGGGGAATGATCATATCCCTTTTCCTCCTGGGATTTTGGGCATGCACACGCATGTGCCTGGAGTGATTTTCAAGCTGCCAGGTCTGAACTCAGACTGCAAAGGGCCATGTGGAAGTCTAGTGTCTAAACTACACTATGCCACTTGCTGGTCCCTATTCATTGCATTTCTCTTAAACACAAAATCCCTACTCAGGCCATAGAACATACTTGATTCTTGGTCTCTATACATATTAATATTTTTATCTCAAGATCCCAGCCACAGTGTACAGGTGGTAGGGTGCTATTGTGTGAGACTGCAGCAATGTGGGAGTCCTGGGTTCAGCTTCCAGGTCAACCTGAACATGCCAGTTATACCAATGAACACCTGTGCATCTGGCTGCCTGAGGGGAGGATTGAAGAGTGGCAAAACCCTGTCAAGGGTACCCTTCCCTCCCTCCAACCCTTCCGACCTCTCAAGAAAGAAAGAAAGAAAATAAACTTGAGAAGAAAAAAAAGATCTTTATCTAAAAACTAAAAACTAGCAATCCTTCAAGAGCATTTTACAAGTCTCTGTTTTTGTAACATGTCCTTATGATTTCTTCACATAGATCTAGGAGAGTCTGTGTCCTCCTAAGCCATGTTCCTATTCCATAGAATTCCAGACAGAGCCTTCATTCCACACTCAAGATCCCTGTTTACAATGGAGTCTCGGCATTTTTGGTACATGCCAAGGTTCTCCTCCAGATACCACATTTGGCAAAGCACTGAGGCAAATCTTTTTAAGTGGTATGGACTTCCCCAGCACTCACTCTTTCTGTCTTCCAACTTTTGGGAGTGCAGACTTAAGTTTGTGTTTCTTTTCCCTCCTCAGCTTCCTGATTCATATTCCCACAGATTAGCTGGCTAACTTGAGAGCCACATGAAAATCTCTCTTTTTTTTTTTTTTTTTAATATTCATTCCCATAGAATTCACTCCCATGCTGTTCACTGTTACCACAAAATCTCTGGACCAGGTCTTTCCTTTTCCTGCATCTTTTCTCTTCTGCCTTATAAGTGCTATTATCTTTTACTGCCGTTTTAACTTTCTGTGGGATTCAGTTTGATGCCCGTATTAGTGCCTGTTAAATCTTAAAACATTATGTTGTAATTCATCAATACCCACAGTCCTGCAATAGAACAATAACTTTATAAGACAGGGACTTCATTTGTTTTATTCACCACTGTATTCTCTATCTCCAACAATGCCAATCACATAATGTTTACTTGGTAAATACTTGTCAATAAATGAATGTATTTTTTCTTTTAAAAAAAAATACTGGTTTTCTATGTGTGACCTAACTAATATAACCCAGGGAAACAGACTGAGCAGATGAGAATCATCTCCATTTTATTGAAGAAGGATGTGGAGGTTTATAATTTGTGCAAGATAGTTCAACCACCCAAAATCTAGGCCTCCATCCTCTTGGTTCATTAGTCTTCTCTTCAGTCTTTTAGACAGTCTCCCGTTGGATGCTGACTCCTGGATTATTCTATGGAGGATTTATTAGAATGAATTTCTAACTACTCCCAGGCATGCACTCTGTCCAGATAAAGCCTTCTGAGAAGCTAGTGATAACAGCAGTTTAAATCCAAGCAGCTAGAAGTCTACAAACAACTTTCAAATCTTGATATGCATCAAAATTCTCTCCTGACATATTCTCTTTTTTTCTTCTCTAATTCTTAGAATAAGCATTTTTCAGAAGAAAGCATGTGGGCTGTAGTGTCACATAGAACCAGAATCAAATCTAAGTTCAGCTTCTTACAGCTCTTAACTCTGTAACTTAATCTCTTAAAGTCTTATATTTCATTGAGATGTTGCATTGTTTAGAAGTAAAATATGTAAACCACCTAGCTCAGTCTTGACTCAAAGCAGTGGCAGTAACTGTAGCTACAGTGGGATAGTAAATAATATGTGTTCCACTTTAGTATCATCAAAGAAAAGTGGTAGGTAAAGGTTTTTCAGATTTAGTGTCTACCATCGAATTCATCTAGATTCCTGTAAATCATAAATTTATACTATGTGTTGGTTTCATACAAGTCTTTCTCAAAACATACACACACATATGAGTATGTCTCCTTCTATCTTTAGTACAACTAACACACTCAAGAAAATAACAGAAGTGAGAAGCATTTCAAAATTGAAGAGAGCTACAAAGGATATTCCCTTTCTGTAATTAGATATTCAGGATTCTGCTTTAAACCAGAATTGCTAGTATTTAAGTAATTTCTCTATCCAAATTAATTTCTCACTGTATGTGATAAGGAGCCAGAAAAACATAGGTGTTAATATGATTTTTAATTTCATTTTTTTTGGCAATGACTGAGTACTAATCTAAGACATAATAAAACATGTAATTATAATGAAAATAGAGAAAAGCCTAAGGTGAAAATAAATAGTACAATTATTCTTGTAATGAAAACTATACCAGAATTGCTTGCTATATAGGAGATTTACAATTTTCTTCTTGGTTCATTCACTCTTCTATTGATTCAATGTCACTAGGAAATGAGTTTTCATTACATGGCAAGTCTGCCAAGACATTAGATACATATGATCCAGAAACAACAAGAGTTGTGTAATTAAGATCCAGAATTTACCACATATCTAGAAATATTAAGGCTTTAGCAAGCAGTTTAGATCACCACTTTTGGAAATTATATTTTTCTTCCTCATTTTTTAGTAATGAACTTGACTCTACAACAGTTTAAATATTTATAGAAATGTATTCTCTAAGATTAATTTAACACACCTCTCTGTCTCTCTCTTCACTTACTTCAAATATCTTGTGAGATGTTTTACTACTAGAATGTATAGCTTTTACATGTGTGCTTTATACATAAGTATGGGTGATTTTACAGTTTATGACATGAAAACAGTCACATGTGCATGTTTTAAGTGGGATGTGTATTTATAGCACATTGCTTATTTTGAAAAACATCAACTACCTACATCTGTGTTCTAAAAAAACTAAAAACCAAAATTTCACATTTGCATGGAAATTTAGTTTTAAAAACTGCTTTAAAAGCTTCAATGTGGGACCAGCAGTTAGCATAATGGCTATGTCACTGGACTCTCACGTAGCTGATCACGGTTCGAGTCCCAAACCTGGTGGCTTAAAACTCAAGCCGGGCGCATGTGCATGTGTGCCCAAGATCCTGAGAGGAGAATGGAGGAGAAGGGATCGTGGCATGGCCATCCCCCCTAGGGGGTGATTTCTCGCTTTCTGTCTCTCTCTGTCTGGCAAGTGCATGCGCCCTATAGCAAAAACCTCTCAGAAAAAAAAAAAAAACCAGCTTCAATGTATATTCAATGGTACCCAAAAAGGGTAAGTATTTTGAATATAACATACATATGTGTTCATATATGCACTGATTCGCAATTATACAATCCTTTTAATTGCCAGAAGGCACTTAAAAGTATGCTCTGATAAAGAGGGACAAAAAGAGACAGAGGAGAAAATCTCCCCAATTACGGTGCAGTCATCCATATCCCCTTCACCTCCTTTTTCTATCCCATGGAGACGTTGGACTTGCATTCACATGCATCTCACATGTTTTTCAAGTCATCAGGGCCAGGATTTGAACTGTAGTTGGCCATGTGGGATCCAGCTCACTTAACCATTAGGCATTGGAGCCAGTCCTACCAAGAGTCTACTCTAAAGGAGCAGATGTTAAACTTTTTAAATGAAAAGCTGGAGTTATAATGCAGGAAATATCAAAGCCCAAAAGAACTCAAAGAAAAGACAGCTTTGTAATTGAAAAGAAAAAAAAAAAGAGTGATAATGCCCATGAGAAGACAGAGAGAAAAACTAAGAGGCAAAAGACAGGAAAAGAAAGAATATTTACACATACTTCAGAACCTAAACAAAGAAATGCATTGCACATAATAAGACCATGATATTTAATTAGTTTATTTCACATAATACTTTCAAAGTCTCTCTTATATCAATAAAAGCTCATCTCACCACACCATGAGCAGACCAAGGGCAGCACTACAGTGATCCTCCCCTGATATTTTATGCTACCATTTTTAAGTCATGAGTGGTGCAGTTGACTCCAAGAAATCACTGCTAGTCCAGGGTAGTCACCCAACAAATGCTTGCTGAATGAATTCATGAGGGTTAATTTCTGTGAAAATACATAACCTTAAAGCTTCAGTCATATAAAAACACACTCAGCAATATAAAAACACACTCAGCAATATAGATAAGACAATTATGTCCAACCCTGAGCAAAGCAATGAAAAGGGGACATCACTGCCTATAGCTCTTTCTAGCCCTAACAGTAAATGATTCACTAAAGAGATGCCTCTTATTTCCATGCTCAAAAATTTGAAGCTACTATTGACGCTGAGTTGTGGAATTTGTTGTGTCACATAATGAGACTGCTACCAACAAACTAAATTCAGAATTTTTTTTCAGAGATAGAAATGTTTGGGGACCATAAACAGATAGAGTTTTAATTAGTAAAATCATGGAGAGCCGATTAAAGGTCACAGTTCATTCCTTTAATGATTTAAAAAAAAAAAAAAAAGCATCACATCACTATTTCTGTCTTGGTAATTGAACTTCTGAAAAACTCTGATTGTGAGATTTCCCACCTCTTGACTATGGCAACATTTCCATTTTCCTAGTCATAATTACTCTATAGTCCACTAGAGGTTAGATGTCAAACATATCAAATCTCTTGTTGAGTGTATGAAGTATCTGTATACCTGCCACCAACAAAGTCCCATCTTCAAAGTTGGGTCCATTCAATTTTATGCCTGAGTCTGTGTGTCTGTGATCAAAGGGAAATGCGGGCAGGGTGAAGATGCAGAAAAGGGAGAAGGAGACAGATGAAGATCTTCATAAAGAAGAAAAATAAGCAATTGAAAGCTTCTACTGGTTTCCTCAGCCTCTACTTAATCAGACTGAAAACAGCACATATGATAACCAGAACCATATGAAAGCTAATAACTCAAGTGATGCTCTCAGAAGAATTTGACCATGTGCATCTTTACTGCATGTCTTGGGGTTGCTGTACTCGAATTTTAGCTCCTTCTTTAATACACTTTCTTTAATGGCCTTGGTGTTATAACACATATACCATCTGCTATAGTGACCGGTGCAAGAGCTGCACCTGTTGCCCCACTTCTACTTTCTTCTAATTATCTGGGATTGTAAAATGACAAGGAAGGGCTTATGTGGTAGCTTATGCTATTTTCTATTTTCCCTAATGATTAAACGCTCCCACCTATTGCCAGGTGACTTGCAGGATTGAGTCCCTAAGGAAATAACTCACTTCCCTACATCATTGGTATAATGTGCTCTGCTTTGGCCAGTGAACTATGAATAGAAGTGACACATGATTCATAAAGGCAAAAGTGATGAGACCCAGTACACAGTTCTACCGTCTCCTTTTCCCTCTGCCCCAGATAGGGACAACTTCTTCTACCTGAATTCTAGAATAAAAAGTAAGTATACTTGGGGGTGAGTTAAACTTGGCCTACTAAATTTTGAGAAAGAAATGACTCATTTATTGATTTCTCTATTTTAGATTTTTGTCACAGGGCATGTGCACTTGCCAGAAAAAGACAGAGAGGGAAGATAAGAAAGCAACTCCCAGGGAAGATGGCGTGTTGCAATTCCTTCTCTATGCTTCTCAGGATTTAGGACATACACACACACATGCAGCCAGCATGTTTTTTAAGTTCCTGGTTAGGGACTGAAATCAGCTGTCAGCCATGTGGTATTCAGCACCTTAACCACCATGCCAACTGCTAACCCAAAAGGATTCTGGTACAAGTTGTTATTTTATATATATATATATACACATATAATCACAAGCTTTCCAAAAATCACTAATATATGCTTGTTATCATTATACATAAAATAGAAGGAGAATAAGTTAAGTTTCAATTTAATTCTTTCTTATCAAAAAAAGGAGTTCCAATTCATTCATTCTCTGTATATTCCCACCACATCACCAACTCTCCAGGTAGGTGAGCCTCAGTGTAAGTATCAGCTGCCATTATTTCTACTTGTGACTACCATTCTCCTTATAGAAGCTCCCATTAGCTCCTTAATTAATGAATCTTCAAATATATAATGGATTATCTATTTCATAGAGGGCTTAAAAACTATTGAGGAAAACAAAACTAATGGACTTTTTCTATTACATAGTCGGCATCTTGTATACATTGAATGATTCAATACTCTTTGCCAGGTAGACAAATCACTTTACAATACAAATTTGAATTTTAAAAAATATTGCCCTTATGCTATAAAGTAAATGAGAAACCTCTTCAATTTTTGAAAACTAGAAAATAAAATTTATCTGATTCTTTTTCCACCACCTCTTACCTTCTGTAGACCCTTTCGTATGAAGGCGTTTGTTGAGTTCATCCAATTTGTTCTTTATGTGTGAAAGCCAGAAAAGGAAGCAAAAAAAGTAAATTAGAAATGTCCTTTCTTTTCTGTACTCTTTCCTCTACTTAACACTTTGCTAAATCTAAAGAGGCTCCATTAACTCTTTTGATTAATTACTATTTTATCTCAAATTGATATTTGAGGCTCCACTTTTCAGTAGTTCTATGTCCAGGAGCACCTTCTTGAATGTCTCCTTGCCTGTTTCCCTTCCTAAAACTGTATAATCATGATATCAACTTCCCATGTTGGTAATGACGATTTTTTGGGCATATAATAAGAATAGTCAAGTATGTCAAATTACTCCATAGGTCCACTAAAGTGATTCCAAAACTAATTTATAAAATTGCTTTTCCAAAGTTAAAAAGTAATAAGTCAGCCATTCTAAAAGAAAGAACTCAGCAAATGTACTTTTAACTCTACTTTCTGGAGATACTCTAGCATTCTTCTATAAGAAGACATTTGCAGGGACCAGCAGTTAGCATAATGACTATGTCACTGGGCTCCCATGTAGTCAACTGCAGTTCAAGTCCCGGACCCAGTGGCTTAAACTCATGCCAGGTGCATGTGCGTGTGTGCCCAAGATCCCAATAGAATGGAAGAGAAAGGATTTCAGTGTGGCCATCCCTCTTTGGGGGTGATTTCTTGCTTTCTGTCTCTCTTTCTGGCGAGCGCACGCACCCTATATCAAAAACCTCTCCAAAAAAATATAAAAATAAAAAAGACATTTGCAATAGTATATGCTGCCACATGTTTGGCAAGAACTAATGTTTAGAAATTACCAAATATTCTCAAACAGGAAAATAAATGAAATCATTATATGTATTTATACAATTCAACATTAACTATGAGTAGTAAAAGATGATTGAGTAAAAAAATGATACATGAGTTAAAACTTCATCTATCAATATGCATAAATCTTAAAAACATAATAATCAATAGTATAATTGCAGAATAAAACTATGCTACAGGTTCTTTTAAGAAACTACAATAAAGGATACTTAATATATCACAGGGATGCACACATATGGAATAAAAGCACTGAGGCATGCATAGAAATTGTATACACTATACTTGAGAGACTCATTACCTTTGAGTAGGAAGGAATTAGGATTGGGAGGGACATCAGAGGTACCACTGAATCTGTAATATTTTCTTTCTTATAATGAGTGTACTGAGGTACCCATTTTATTATCTCCATGCCTTTTAGTATGTTTGAATTTGTTTAGAAAAGGTAGATAGTTTTTCAGAGAAACCCATAGACAAAGTAAAGATGATTCAAATGTATCTAAAATGGTCTAAGACAAGATAGTCTTGTTCTCTAGAAGAAAGGTAATTCATAAAACAAGATACAACTAATAGATTCCTGTAAAATTATATGTGAACTCTACTTCATCAGACTACTTCCTATGGACTGTGACAGCTCAACTCATCCAGCTTAGGTCTGAGTTTTCTGCCTCAGACTAATCAGCCCTCTTGGTCCTTGACAAGAGCAAAAGTAGGAAGGAAAAAACAATGGAAGAGTGGAGAAAAGCAAACTGAATTCCTCCAGGACTCAACCTCCCAAACTGTAGCTCCTAGGCCTCTAGGAATCCTGAGTGGTAGCAGAAGGATAATAGCTCCCCTTAGAAGCTCCGATTGGCAGCTCTAAAAACCTTTGATCATATTTTCAGTAAGCAAATTATTGCTTAATGTTTATAGTTTATTTAATATTCAAAAACTTCCAAATACAATGTGCCAGGTAGTTTCTGCACCACCACCACCTCACCCACATTGCACCTTCCCAACGCTGCCCTGTGTACCGGGAGGCTGACCTTTAGGAACTGTGTCAAAGAGCTAATGTGCCCTCTGGCTTCCTGTTGGGTTCCACCAACTGGAGACATCTACAGGAGCATTTGTCAAGATGAGGGTATCATCTTCCTAGCCTTCTCCCTACAGGGTTGTGATATATTAGCAGCACTTATCTACCATAGGCAACAGTTCCTTCCTATCTAGCCCTTTCTTTACGTTCTGGTAATTTGCTTCCTCCTCTCACCCTCCAGGCCTTGGAGGGTGCCCTGCTATCCTTAGGGGCACTTCGCCATTCTTCATTGACTTCCGTGTACCTGCTCAGTCTTTCAAAGTAGTTATTTCTTTAAGCCTGATTGAAACAATCCCTTTAAACTCTCTTTTAAAACCTCTTCTGCATGGGCCACCTGTTTCCTATTGGGACCATGACTGATAGACATGTGATTCATGCATGCAAAGAAGAAAAACCTTTTGATTGGGAATTGTCAACTCCACAGAACAGCATCATGAACTTGTTTTCCTTTCATTCTCTATACCTGTAGTGTCCAACAAGGTAGTCATAAGCCACATATGGCTCTTTAAATTTAAAGTCATTAAATAAAAACCTTAGTTCCTCAGTCATACCAGCCAGGGGCTACCATTTTGAACAGCACAGATACAGATCATTTCCCCCATCACAGAAAGTTCTATTTAACAGCACCACTATGCCCCCAACAAGCTCCTCCATGATAAACATAAAGAGTATTTCTACCTTTAGCTCTACCTTATCATCACAGGTGCAGCCCAGGTCAAACTCAGATTGAAGATACATAATCCCTGGATAACTGGGCCTGGTAACTTCCTCTGGCATGGTTGGCCTAAAGGTATTGGTACGTAGGAGGTGATTTAAACTTCCATGGGTGCCATTATTGGGGGCTGGCTTCAATCCCAGGAGATCTGACAAAAAGAAAGAAAAAGAGCCAGATGCTTCTTAAATGTTTTGTTATGAGATACAGTAAGAATCAAAACTTCTCACCTTCCAAGGATCTGAACACAAATGAGAACTGAATAAAACCAAACTCAGATGGTTAGCACCTCTTACGTCATGAACCCTTCTTGCCTGGCTGGGTCTTGCCATCGCTTTCTGAGACAACTATATTTATTGCCTGACCATGAATAAAGACATTCCCATAGAAAAAGAGTGAAGAAACAGGGTCTTTCTCAGCTATTGCCTATGTTTGTGATAGTTACAACCCAAGGACTATCAGTGTCAGTACTACTGCCTGTCCGCACTTTTCTGGGACTTTTTAATCCCAAATTATGCAATGAGATTCTTAATCAATAAATAACCACAAGTCTGCCCTCTAATGCACTCCACAGAAGTGTGGGGACAAGAGGAGGCTTTGGCCATGTGCCTTGAAGCAGTGCTGTTAGATGAACAGGCTGATTTCATAGCAAGTGAATGGTTGCCAAGCAGGTATACAGTGACTTGCCTAAGCTGCAAGGCTGAACAGGGAAGAGCTAGAAGCCAAGATGGGAAAAGAACCCAGGAGACCCGACTTGCCGACTCCCCCTCTAACCACCAGACTGGCACTCCCTTACTAAATAGGAAAAGTTGTCCTCATTCAGCAACTAGAAGCTCAAAGAAGAAAAATAATTAGGAGCACATAAATAGCTGGCCAGGATGCAAGCTGGCAACATTTTAACTAGGCTGTATTGCGAGCGATGGAGGTGGGAGAAAGCTCTGTGCAGAACTCTTGCTTCATCAGGTCCCTGACCAACGGTGTCAAACTGGAACGCTATGTTGGATCAGCCAGAGGCTGCCAACAGCAACACTATGAAAACTCCCCATTAGTCAACTGTTGAAGGAAGACAAAGAAGCCTTAGAAGAGGATGATATGCTGTCCTGTGACCAATGGGAAAGGCACAACATTTTTTTTATTTCGTGGGGAGACAAGGTGGACCCAGAAAATAGACACCTCATTGCTTTCTCTGACATTGAGAAAGTTCATATGTTAACTAAAGGTTGTTTCATTGGTTTTGATTAAATGAGTGACTTACCACACATTACATTGTAAAGTTCGATATTTTCAAATGGAGGCACTTTAGTCTTGTACTTAAATGTAGGGCCATAACCTACAAAAACAGTCTTCCAAAAGAAAAAGAAAAAAAAAAAAAAAAAGCAAACATTACTGATCCAGGATCAGTCCTTCCTCAATGAATACCATGCAACTTCACATACACACCACCCCTCCACACTCCTCCTAAAAATCACTAAAACACAATTACAGTTCTCCTAGCATACCTGCATGCTGTTGACCTTGTTATCAAATCCATGGTCTCCCTGGAAAAAACATTTTCCTGACGGTTTCTTATAAACATCCAAAGGTTTCCTACATTGAGACAGTTTTATGATCAATCAGGATTTCTCATAAAATCACTCCAATAAATCTATTTCAGGGTACAAAGAATCTCTACAAAGGGACTTTTGAAAGTCCATTTGTCTCTATTTTGATTGCATCATTCCTGTGGTAATGAAAAAGATGATTATATTTATTTCTCAAAGTGTCTTTGTTGTGACAACCACCCCGGGGTGAATGGAACATAATGGATAGATGCTTGCAGGCTTCACCAGCTCTGAAACTGTAAGTATCCACTTTAAGACCATATTTTTCTGGTTTACTTCTACATACCCCTCACTAGTCTCACCGCCAAGACAGAGTAGGTACATTTTTAAAATGTCTTGTTTAGCCAATGAATATAGATCTGCATTCTATAAAAATGTTTGCATACAAATTTTCCTCAGTATAATATAACTAAGTTGTCAGGAAAATCATGACATTTTTCTATGTTTTTCTATTAAAAAATGTGTCACGAATTTCCCAATGACCCAAAAGAACGCAATCAAGTGGTCAATATAACAGTAATAGTGATGGGTCCAACTGAAGCCTAGCCTATCTTAGACAATATATCTATTTAGAAATAGAAAATGGAAACATTGCTTTCTGGACATCAAAACCACTTGAGCTTCCCCTTTGTGACAGAAAGACATCTTTTGCATAATTCCTAAGTATCTATAGAGTATAAAGCACTGAAGAAAAGACCCCGGAGAACAAAGAAATCTGACACAAAGGTCTCCAGGGTTAGGATAAGAACATTGGGCTTAAGATAGTAAGATATGTACATATAATAACTCAGTGAAAGAGTTAGACTAAAAAGAATTATTTCTAATTAAAATACTTGACTTTTGTCTACACTCATTTGCTCAACTGCCATCATCATTCACTTCACTTCCCAGGTTTTCTCCACATAAACCCACCAGTTGCACTAAGTTCCTTTCTCCAAGCTGCTCCATACATAAAAGGTCCTGCAGAGAACATACTCAGCCACTCCATTCTAGTCACCTCTATAACTTTTCCATGAGGACTCCCCAAGGCAACTTTAAATGATTCCAATCATCTCTGTTCTCCATACATCTCTCTACATAATCCTCATATTTAACTCTGTGTGTCCTGTTATTTAAATACAGTAGATAACTATGTTTGTCAAACATATCTCTCTAAACGTTCCATGTTAATACATGCCCCTAGAAGACCAACATATTTTCCCCTATTGTTTTTTTTAATAAGCAAGAAGGAAAGGAAGGGACCAGAAGATGGCATAATGGTTATGTCACTGGACCCCCATGTAACAGACCACGGTTTGAGACCCAGACCTGGCAACTTAAAATTCACACTAGGTGTGTGTGTATGCATACCCAAAAACCTAAGAGAAGAATGCAGGAGAAGGGACTACAGCATGGCCATTCCCACTTTGAGGAGGGGGGAGGGTTGGTTATTTTTGCTTTCTGTCTCTCTGGTGAGTGCATGCACCCTATATCAAAAATCTCTCTTTGGAAAAAAAAGAGAGAGAGAGAGAGAGAGAGAGAAGAAGAGGAAGAAGGAAAGAAAAAAGAAAGAGAGAGATTTGTTTTTGTTTTGTTTGACAAAGTCTCACTGTGTTGCAGTCATCTTGCTCTAGCCCAATTGGCTAGGATAACAGGTATATACAAATACCCATCATATTCAGATTGGCCTGGGAATTGAGCCTGGGCCTCCCATCTGCAGGTTTGCTACTTGTGCACCATTATGGCTGGGCCCAACATTTTCTTTTCTTTTCTTTTCTTTTCTTTTCTTTTCTTTTTTTTTTTTTAGTTTTTCTATAGGAAGCATGACATTCACAGAGACAGAGAGAGAGAGAGAGGGAAAGTGAGAAATCGTCCCCCACGGGGACTGCCACGCTGAGATCCCTTCATCTCCACTCTCCTCTTGAGACTTTGGGCATTCACACATATGTGCCCAGTGTGTCTGGGACTCAAACTGCCCAGTCAATCATGTGGGATCCCCATCCTAACCACCACACCCCTGGCTGGCCCCAAGATTACCTTCTTTCCCTTGTAAACTCCTAGTACCTAACGAGAGCACATGTAGTATTTGCTCAATCATTGCTATAGACTGATTCATAGTATTTTTCTTAAGGCAAAAGTTGGAGCAAGAGTGAGTAGGAAAGGGCTGCTTCCAGGTCTTCAAAGATGAACTCTTTGGAAGTGTTAGCATTTCCAGACATGTACTACACCTGAATCAAAAGCAATGAATAATACTTTCAATACTGGAGAGACTTCTGTAACTTGGAAGAAAAAAAATCATCAGAAATAGTTAAAACCATCTGAAATACATCCATAATAACAGAGGTTTTCAGATTAACACTATTTTTGGAAGTCCTCCATAAACATTGCAGCAGTCTCATTAACAGAGACCTAATCACCCCAACGTACTTATAGCAAGGTAAGCATACTTTGAACTTATTCAAAGAATAAGAAGAGAGGCTAGAATATAAATTAAAATATAATAAATAAAACCTGCACACACATGCATACTCAGAGACTCTGAAGTAACACCCAGATGCTAAGATCTAGAACTTAGAGCTGTATTACCTCAGAATTTTTTATCTAGCAAACATACTCTTTGGAAACAGTAAGATCTCAACCTGAGATTTCTTTTAATGATGACTAGAAGACCTTAAAGTGTTTTCACTATCCAAGGAGCTGATTGCAAAGATAAGAAGTGGGGCCAGCCAATACCAAGCTACCTTGCAACATGCCATCTGCGATCCACTAATAAGTGGATATCTTCGATTCTTCTGTTGTTGGCATAATGCAAACGTTTGGGAAGGTGCTGTTTCATGTAAGGCTTGAAGTGCTGATCTGGTTTTTTACACTGAAATATAAATGAAAATTGGCCTTTAGGTGGGATGTTTTCTAAAAAAATAGTCCTAGATAGTCTCTCTCTAGAAAGTTGAAGGAGGTTTTAATCATAACACCAACAGGTTGTAGGTGAATAAGTAGAATTTGTTAACCCCTATCAAAACATACATGCTGAAAACAAATACATTCAAAGGGAATTACACAACTTTAGGGATGATATGGCAGGCTATCAAAAGGGAGTTAGGAATCTAAGATACATTCCTGACTCATGAGACCATCACTGAGAGCAATTCAAACCCCAAGGTTTTTTCCAACTGCTTTAAGTTGAGGGGTAGGAAGGTGGAGTGACAAAGGAGGAACACACATGATCAGACCTCGCTGATTATATATCCAAGTGCTTTAAGGCCTCTACCCTGAATCCAGGACAATGAGACAGTGATGGTGGAAAGATCTGGTTCACAGAAATAAAGATTTGTTTTATCACAAATGAATACAGTTCAGTTCTAATGGAAAGATCAAATATTCTCAGTTTGTATCACTGCCAAGATCATTAAGGAGACTATAGCTGTCCATGGGCCAGACTGTTGAAAGCTCTTAGGGAAACAAATGTACAGGACGGCAGAGTAGAGAGAAAAATGTTCCTCCCACCACCACCACCTCCCCACTCCCGGGGAAGGAAGGCACAGAAGAGGAGCTCGTGTAAGTCACTACAAGGGCAGCAGCCTGGTAACTCCCAACACTTACCGTGAGATTCGCAATAATGGCTTTGGGGTCATCTGTTCAAAGAAAGAAGGGAAACGATTTCATAAGAAATGACAATCATTATGGAGCGAAATTATTTAGCAACTAGAGACTCAATGTTTTCTACTCCAGCCTCAGAAGGGCTACTAATTTAGTGTTTTGTTTTAAAAATACATACAAGATGACTTGAAAAATTTTATGGAAAAAATGGAGTTAATGTACAAGTTTATTTTATTTTATTTTTAATTGTTAGAGGAGCATGAATGCTCACCAGAGAGAGACAGAGAGAGTGAGGGAGAAAGCACCCTCCAATGGAGCATGGTCATGCTGCAATTTCTTCTCCTCCATTTCTCTATCCTGTCAGGATCTGGAGCATGCATGCACGCACATCAGTATGTCTTTCAAGCCACCAGAGCTAGGATTCAGAACACAGTCAGCCATGTGGAATTTGTTCCCCTTTATCACTAGGCTACAGGAACAGTCCTAAGTACAAGCTTACTTTGGTGAAAAAAAAAACAAAACTGAAATTTATGTATAGGCCTTTCATAACAAATATTTTTCACAAACTTTTTGAAGACCCCTATTACAACTATGTGTGGGTATTTAATATTTCAGTAAGTGACTATAGCTGAACAAGTGGAACAAGTCCTGTAGTAAACTTCCCTGCTATTTCTTCAGGAAGATAATTCCTCTCCATAGCAGGATATTACCAGGTAAATTACTTTTTCAAGTCCCCCAAATGGTTCCTCTGGAGTATGAGTTTATTTGTAATTTAACATTGGAACTGGGTATTGGGGCTTTTAATATCACTTCCTACCCTAACCCATCGAGTTATTTTTTAAAGAATTTCTGAAGTCAGTCAGTGGCATGATAGTTATGGCAGCTGGATCCCACAGGGCTGACTGTGCAGTGGCTCTAACAGCTTGAATAACATGCTCAATGCATGTGCATGTGGGCCCAGACTCTGAGAGGAGAAATGAAGAAGGACCTGTGGTGTGACCATCCCCCAAAGATAGTGTCTTCTCACTTTCCCTCTCTCTCCCTGTCTCTCCAGAAAACAATGTGATCTCAGACAAATGAGAAAGAGAGTTTTGTTTCCTTAGTAATGTCATGGATCGGATTACATAGGTAGAAGCCACTTCTCTCCAGCCATAGACACACACATGTGTGTATCTCCTTTATTTTCACTACCAGCAAACAAAGGCTATTTTAGTCACTACTGAACTAACTAAAAACAAAACTATGTAAATGATGGCTGTGTACAAACAGTACACAGGATTGTATTATCTGAAGATCCGCCTTTGGGGGAAGGAGGATTGTGGAGAGAAAGGAGATTATAGGTTGTTTGGATTTTGTTTTGTTTTTTAAAATTTTGTTTCAGTATGTAATTATATTGTAGAATCAGCAGAAAAGGAAAGCAGCATTCAGAAGAGATACAACTGTCATGATGCAACCTTCCCTGGAATATATTATAAATGCCAGTGGAACAGATATTAATAAACATTTGTTTAAAATATATGAATAAGCTTACCTTGGCATATAAATATACACATATCAAAGACTATTTTCAGAATCATAATTTTTTTAAGCTCATTTATTCATTTCTTTAGGAAATGGCAGGGCATCTCCAACAGGGTCTTTGCATTATGATCTACCTCCAGCCTTGGCCAACCAGAATCACGAGCACATACAGATACCCAGCACAAAGAGGGAGGTCTCCGGGACCTTGGACCATGAGTGCAGTTGCATTACCACTACATCATCCAGAACATGAGTTCTGAAACTATGAAATCCAAAACTAAAATATAGATTTTATCCTACCTAAATTGGAATTAATTTTTTAAAAATTTGCCAGTGGACACATGTGTTTGCCAGAGAAAAAGAGACAGAGATAGAAAGGGAGAAAGAAAGTGAGAAAACATCCCATGGAGGGATGGCCATGCTGCAATCCCATCCCCTCCCATTGGGAGACCACCTATTGGGATTTAGGGCATGCACACACATACTCTCAGTGTATTTTTTCAAGCCACCCAGTCAAGGATTTGAATTTTGCTGCCAGCCATGTAGGATCCAGCCACTTTTAAGCACCATGCCACAGGCCAACCCAGGGTTAAACTTTTAGTTGTGTCTTTTTAATAGACAGCAGATAAATAATGGTAACAAAATGGTTAGCCCAAATTGAATCTATACCAGATGCCTGTCTCTCTATAGAAGCTTTGCAGACACTTCCTCTCTGACCTCTGACAACAACCCTAGGAATTAAATACTATCAGCATCTTCAGGAAGCCAGTGGGCAGCACCCTGGGGCCCAAGCAATCTACACTCTACACTCTTTGGCCTCACAAACCATAGTCCTCAAAGGAGCCAAAGAGAATAACTTCATGATCTTCTTTAACAAAGGGAAATTATTAGCATGAAGCAATCAGATATGTCCCAGGGACTTATTAGCAGATAATAAATGAAAAGTCCATTTTTGAGACAACCGTTCAACTCTGAAGTACTCAGTTGGTTCATCCTAACAATCTCCACTTACTGTGATGAAAGGGTAATAGTTAAAAATTAGAAAATCTGAGTTAAAATCCCAGGTCTGTCACTTATTGCCATCTTTTGAGTCAGTTCTTTACCCTCTCTCTGCCTTGCTTCCTACTGTCTGTTAAGATGATAATAATACTTATCCCACAGTCTACTGAAAGAATTAAATAAGGTTGTGTATATATCTAGCTGAAATACTGATATGACCAAGATGTCATCATGTCATCATCATAGTTAACATATAGTTTTGACTATGTGATAATATTAAGCTAAGTTATATATATGTATTTATTTATATATATTATATATAATTATATATATAAAATCTCTCATTTAATCTTTCCAACAATCTTCATTTTACATATTAGAAAACTCTACAAGTAGTGTTTAAGTAGCTTACACAATGTCACAGCATGATTTAAACCTAGGCATCCTGCTCTTCCCCATATCACTCTCCTATCTCCACAAAACAAAACCACATGTACAAGTGTTTAAAATTGCAAAATATTTCATTATCGGCAGTTATTATTTCATTAGTTTCCAGTGTTTCTTTCCTCTAGAAGTTTTTTTTTTCCTCTCTAAAAGAACCTCGTCTATTGCATCTATTGATATCAGAAATATTTTTCAAAACAGAGAGAATCATTCTTGTATGAGCCTTAAAATGCAAATACTGAGACCAGCAGATGGTGTAAGGGTTACATTGCTGGACTCCCAAGGAGTTGACCGTGGTATGAGTCCTAGATCTGGCAGCTTGAAACTCACACCAAGTGCATGTGCATGTGTGCCCAAAATCCCGAGAAGAGACTGGAGGAGAAGGGATTGAGCATGGCCAGCCCCTCGGGGGGCAGGGGTGATTTCTCGCTTTCTGTCTCTCCAGCAAGCACATGCACCCTATAACAAAAATCTCTCCTTTAAAAAAATGCAAATACTAAAATCAGTAGGTACCATAATGACTCCCATCCATCCATGGCAAGGGCTTGCCTATCTCAAGTGAGCATGGAAGGAGGAATCAGAAAACAGGAGAGGGCATGGAAAAGAGAAGCAGAAACACCAATGTTTTGTTTATTTCACATCGTTGCCTGGAGCTGACCTTGGAACATTTCCCATTTGTGTTGACTCAGAAACGTAATTTCGGAAAAACTTGGTTTTCCAAAACTTTAATCTTGGTGTCAATGGTTTCTTATTCACAAGGCTAAAAACTCTGAAAATTTCTTTTTTTTTTCCAGAATGTAGCATGTCTCCAATAAAACTATAGACTTTTCAAAAGCTAGGTGAGAATCCCTTAAAACATCTTAGTCCACTAACTAAAGATTTTATAAGTGGTTTATCATAACTCAAGCATATTAAATTTAATTGACAAGATTATTCCTGTTCATTTTATTTCTAATCTTTTAGAACAGTGGCTATATCCCAAAGGCTTACTATTTTTACCTCCTGGGTCCTGTCAATCATTTTACAAAGGGGAAAAGCCCCTTCAACAAGGTTTCCAGGAAGCAGAAGCATCTGAACCTGCAGTGGTTCTGCCAACCTCGTCATAGACTCTACTGTTGCAGCCTAAGAGCCAGCCCTGACTTCATGTTCAAAATTCTTCTCTCGGGGCTGGCAGGTGGCGTGGTGGTTAAGGGTGTTGGACTCCCACATGGCCGATCAGGGTTCGAGTCCTGGACCTGGCAGCTTCCTTTGTCACTTTCTCTCTCTCTCTCTGTCCCTCTGTGATCAAAACCAAAAATAAATAAATGAATAAATAAAGTTAAATTTAAAAAGTTAAAAAAAAGAAAAATTCTTAATCATAAAAATTCTTCTCTCTTATGGTTATAAGCATACCTCAAATTAAGTACAATTTCTGTAGGAGAAAAATAAGAGCAAATGTTCATATAATGCTACTATGTGCCGGGAACTGCTCTAAGCCATCTGCATAGATTAATTTTCAAAACAACCTCACTGTCATCTATCATTCCCATTTTCCAGATGAAAATACTCAACGTAAATGACCTATTCAAGGTCACTCAGATAAGCAGTAGCAGAGCTAGGATTTTAATCCAAGTATTCCAGCTTTAGGGAGCAAGTCCTTACCTACTCCACTGCATTACCACTCTTACAACTTAGCATTTTAAAAATCAACTTACATTTAGCATTATTGCTAAATTTGGATCGGATTCTTCCTAGCGTTCCAGGCACTAAAGTAATATCATCCACATTAGTCAGGTAATTGCTCAGGAACTCAGTTCTGTCACATGTAACATCTTCCATTCCTATGGGAAGAGAAAGGAAAAAGAAAAAAAAAACGTATTTGGAGACAATATAAAATAAAATCTTAACACAGACACTAAAGATATCTTTGACAGGCAAAGATATCAGGCATCTTTGTCATTAATTTTTAATGACAAATTTTAATTCTTCATATAATCTTTCCACTAGATTTAGATTTAGCCATATCATCTTGTAAACAATAAAAGGTTAAAAATGTACCATCTCAATTATCATTTTAAGTCATTCAATCAAAAGATCAATACAAAGGTAAGATTCAAGATTTAAAGAAAAAAGAAAAAACTATTCAGACAAAACTTATTAACAAGATATATTCTTTTTTTTTTTTTTGGAGAGGTTTTCGCTATAGGGCGCGT